TCAGCTGTTTAATCTGTCTGCGCCTCTCTTTTAATTACTGTAGCTCTTTCATAGACTTTGATAACACCCAGCCCACCCCCTGCTTCATGCTTTGTGTTCAAATTTGTATTGGTTATTCTTAGATCATTGAGTTCCTTTCATAATCCTCTGAATTTATTGATTAGTTTAGGGAGGTAGAATCTTTACTTTTGACTTTTCTTACCCTTGAACATGTGTCTCTCATTTATTCGCATTTTTTTTAATTCTTCAGAAAAGATTTTTACCTTTCCACATCAGGGTCCTGCACGGTTTTTTTGTTAGTTTTATTTAACACTCTGTCATTTCTGTTGTTGCTGTGTTTTTCCTTAGATTTTTGGGTTTTTTAATGTTTTGGATATATATGTGACCACATACCCAACATCTTGGTAAACATTATCTGTTGTCTTTTTCCCTTTGACTTTTCTATGTAGATGATTACATTATATGAAAATAATGGCACGTTTTCTTCCCTTCCTTAACAGTTTTTGCATCTTACTTCCTCTTCTTGCTTGTGGCAGTAACACTCTAGAAGAGCAGTGAATAGTAGAGGCAACAGTGGACATCCTTGTCTTTTTTCTGGCTTTAATAGAAATATTTAAAAAGTTTCACCATTAAGTTTGCTACAGTTTCTCTAACAGGTTAGATATTTTCCTTCTATTCCTAATGTTTGTTTTTATAATCTTCCTTTTTGGCTTTTTTTTCCATTGTTTTCTGCTTTGTCTTTATTATTCCTTCTGTTTTCTTGTTTCTGTAATAACACTGGAATTATTTTTTTAGCTTCTTGAGCTAAGTACTCAACTCATTTATTTTCAGTCTTTTAAAAAAATTTATTATTCATTATACATGAGAGTCTGCATACTGTGTCATTCTGTTTATGTGACATATTCTGGTTTGACAAAGCCATAGGGATGAAAAACAGATCAGTGGTTGCCTGGAGGTTCAGGAAAGGATTGATTAAGGGACATTTGTACAATTTTTGTTGTGATGGAATTGACTCATATCTTGATTGTACTGGTGGTTACATGTACAGAACAGTAAAATATAAAGGGTGCGTTTTATTATATGTAAATTGTATACCAATTTGGAAAAATCCAGTGGACACAAAAAAAGTATGTAAGATAATTCTACTTTTAAGAATGTATATTTTAAAAGGTTATGAGTTTTTTGTAAGGACTGCTTTAGTTAAAACCAGTGTATTTTTATATATAACACTTCAAAATGGGGAGGGAAATTTTTTATTTTTATTTTTTAGATTTTTATTTATTTGACAGAGAGAGACACAGTAAGAGAGGGAACACAAGCGGGGGGAGTGGGAGAGGGAGAAGCAGGCTTCCCACTGAGCAAAACCTGATACGGGGCTTGATCCCAGGACTCTGGGATCATGACCTGAGCCGAAGGCAGATGATCAACGACTGAACCACCCAAGTGCCCTTATTTTCATTGTTTTGAATTTTAATGTATTCAGGTGTTTTAAGAATCAAATTAATGTGAAAACTATATAACTTACAAAGTAATATTACCAAGTAACATAAGAAAGGGATACTCTCAGGGAGCCTGGGTGGCTCAGTCAATTAAGCATCTGCTTTTGGCTCAGGTCATGAGCCCAGGGTCCTGTGATGAAGCCCTCCATTGGCCTCCTTGCTTGGTGGGGAGTCTGCTTCTTCCTCTCCATCTGCCTCTTCTATCCTACCCCATGCTTGTGTGCTCGCTCTCTCTCTCTCTATCTCAAATAAATAAGATTATTTTTTAAGATTTTTTTAATTCATTTGACAGAGATCACAAGTAGGTGGAGAGGCAGGCAGAGAGAGAGAGAGAGGAGGAAGCAGGCTCCCCACCGAGTAGAGAGCCAGATGTGGGGCTCGATCCCAGGACTCTGCGATCATGACCCAAGCTGAAGGCAGAAGCTTTAACCCCCTGAGCCACCCAGGCACCACAATAAATAAAATCTTAAAAAAAAAAAGAAAAGAAAGGGATGCTCTCATCCCTTTTCTGATCTACCCCATTCCTCCCTACCCATTGTATGTATCTTTCCATTGTTTTTCTCATACACATACAAATATGCATATTTTTCCTTACTTTTTCTTTTTTTTTAAGATTTATTTATTTAGAGAGAGAGAGAGAGAGGAAGAGGGAGGGGGAGAGAATCACAGGCAGATCTCACAACCCTGAAATCATGATCTGGGCCAAAATCTAGAGTCAGATGCTTAACAGACTGAGACACCAGGTGCCTCTTTTCTCTTCCTTTTAACACAAAAGTTAGCATATTATAAACATTGTTCTGTATCTTCCTTCTCCACTTAATATATTCTAAAAATCTTTCATGTCAGTACTTAGAAAATATCTTCATTCTTTTTTTTAAACATCTGTATAGTATTCCATTGTTTATGTAAGTAATCCCTTATTAATGATCCCTTGAGTTGTTTCTAATCATTTGCTATTATAATGTAGCTAAAGACAGTAAAATGTCTTCATATATATATTTTAGGCTGTTCCTAAAATAAATTCCAGGATCAAAATTACTGAAAAAAGAGTAAGTGTATTTGTAAACTGTGTAAGTATGTCCAAATTGCCATCCTGAGAGGTGTTACCGTTTCCTATTCCACCATAAATGAATGGGAGAGGGAATTCGTTTTCTTAACTCCTTTTAGTTTTTATTACTGAAATATTTTAAAGTAAATACAAGTATCTTGACTTCCTCCTCCTAAATTTATTTTCCTAGAAATAGGAAAAGTTTTTAAATTTTATTTTTAATAGCTTTATTAAGGTATATATACCATAAAACATTTGAATTGTATAATTCAATGATTTTTACTAGATGTACAGAGTTCTGTGACCATCACCCAAATTTTAAAATATTTCCATTACCTACAAGTGTTTCTCTATTTTCGTTTACAGCCAGTTTCTTATGCCACCACCAGACAGTCACTAACCTACTGTCTATAGCTTTGCCTTTTCTGGATAATTTCACATTATTAGAGTCATATATATATATGGTTTTTTGTTTCAGGCTTCTTTTACTTAGCTCAGTGTTTTTTAGATTCATCCATGTTCTGAGTTTTTTTTTTTTTTTTAAGATTTTTTTTTTTAATTTGTTTATTTTGAAAAAGAGAGTATAAGCAGGGAGAGGGGCAAAACCAGAGAGAGAGAGAATCCCAGTCAGACTTCTCGCTGAGCATGGAGCCCAAAACAGGGCTTGATCCCACAACCCCAAGATCAGGACCTGAGCTGAAATCAAGAGTCAGATACTCAACCAGCTGAGCCACCCAGTTGCCCCATGTTCTGAATTCTTAAAATGGGTATGTTACAGCTTGTATCATCAGTACTTTGTTTCTTTTTGTAGCTGAATAGTATTCTAATGTGTAGATATACCACATTCATTTACATTTTCTTCTGTAGCCTGTTAACATATCGCACCTGAACAGATTAATAATTCTCCTGGCATCCCCTAATACTTAGGTTGTACTCAGATTTCTACAGGATCCAGTCCAGGACTGTACATTGCAATGTGTGTGTCCTTAAATCTTTTTTAATCTACAGCTGTCCCTTTTTTTCATGGTACTGAAGACACCATGCTAGCTGACAATCCCAGCTCTTGGATTTCTTTGAATGTTGCCTGTGGTGTTCCTTAGCTTGTTCTTCTATTCTCTGTATTTTGTGTATATTTTGATTAGACACCATTTTTGGCTAGGATTCATCAGAAATAATATTGTTATTTCACACTGTTTCTCATTAGGAGATAAATAGTATGTACTTTTTCCACCATTTATAATGCTAACATTGATTATTAGCACTCTGATTCTTCCAATGTAAGGTTTATATTTTTTCTGTCCTTATCAGTAAAAGGTTATCTTTATGGTGTTACTTTGGTACCATATAGATGTCCAATTCCTTATTAATCTTCCTTTGATGTTTGAAACACTGATTAATAATCATTGCCTGAATCAGTAATTTCATGAGAAGTTGCAAAATGATAGTATTCTTATTCTGTCATTCTACCTACATTTACAATTGGCATTTTTCTGTAAAAAGGAGTTTTCCCTCTGCAGTTGGAGCTATTTGTCTCCCCCAAACTATAGATCATTCTTTAAAGCAGAAAAAAAAAAATATGCTTGTTTTCTCTCTCACACCTTGTCCCAAACCAATAGTTTTCAACTAAGGAGCTGATGTAATAGTGCCTCACTGAAATGTAGTAAATTGCTCTTACTCAGTTGCACATATTATATACTTTCCAGTATGATATTCTCTTTAACTTTATGGATTAAACAAAAACTTGTAAGAATGTTGAGTTTCCAAACAAGTTTTTTTGTTTATGTGTTCTTCAAGTTATGTTTTTGTTATAATTATATTGTGGTCAAATAATGTCAAATAATGTGACCTCTGTTAAATTGAGGTTTGTTTTTGTTTTTGTTTTCTTTAAGTAATCTCTACACCCAGTGTGGGTCTTGAATTCCCAACCCTGAGATCAGGAGTTGCATGCTCTATCAATGAGCTAGCCAGGTGCTCCTGTTAAATTGAGTTTTAAAAAAATTCTTGAAATGGCTTATGTGACCTAACATGATCAATATTTTAATAAATGTGTCCTGTGATTTTGAAAGGAATACTACTATTCTGTTAAACCAAATTTGCTAATACTATTTGAAACATGCATATCCTTATTTTTGGCCTGCTGATGTATTAGTTATATAGAGGGATTTGTTAAAAACCTCCCATTAGGATTATAGATTTTTCCATTTGTACTCATACATTTCAGAGTTTGCTTTATATATTTTTGAGGCTATGTTTTTATGTTTATATAGCTTCATGATTGTTAAATTATCTTCTTAGATGGCTCCTTTTATTAGTAGCAAAATCTTGTCCCTTTTAAATACTGTTCATTTAAAATATGTGACATTAGTATTTAATTGCAGCAGGCTTCTGATTGGCATTTCCTGATGTGTTTTCTTATTTACTAATATTAAAACTTTTGTGTTGTTTTGTTTTAGGCATGTATATTATAAGCAGTATAATGGCAGAATTTTAAGCCAGTTTGAGAATCTCTCATCTTTTAGTAGGTGAGTTTATATTTACTCTGACAGTACGTTTATATTTACTTATTTTTTTATTTTTTAAAATTTTTTGTTTTACTCTTTTAGAGTGGGAGTGGGATGGGGGTAGAAGGAGAGGGAGAGAGACTCTCAGGTAGTCTCCATGCCCAGGACAGAGCGTGACATAGGGCTCAATCTCACAACCCTGAAATCATGACCTGAGCTGAAAGCAAGAGTCGGAGGCTCAACCAACTAAGCTAGCCAGAGGCTTCCATTTATATTTACTTCCAACATCTTATGTGTTTTCTATTTACTGTGCATTTTCTCTGCTTTTTTTCCTCTTATCCTACCCTTTACTGATTTGATAGCTTGCTTTGTTTATTTCTTAATCGGTATGGAAGATATATAGTCCATATCTATTAATTCAGTGCTCCTTCTAAGGGTTAATGTACATTCTTAAGTGAATTTTTTTGCACAGTCTTAAAGTTTATCACTCTCTCCTTGTTCCTCCTCAATTAGATAAGAATATTACCATGTTTTAATTTTGTGGAAATGTTTTTACAGCAACCATGTCATTTTTACATGGTACTTTACTTTCACTTTTTCACATTAAAAAAATTATTTTTGTTCTTTTTCTTCTCCCTCTCTTTTTGTTTTACTCTCTGTATTAATTTTTACTATCTTTTAATTACCTCCTTGCTTCCACTTGTTTCTTTCATGCCATGCCTTCCTCCTGAGTTCATTTTTCTACATACTAAAATATATTCCTTTGGTACTTTTCAGCTGGTTTATGAACTTTATAAGCACATCTATTTGAAAGTGTCTTTATGTCATCTTCAATTCACTTGAAATCTCTAAAATTCATCTATAAAATAAGTGCAGTAAAACCAACTGGCCCACCATATAGAGATATTGGGGGTTAGCTAATAATATTTGTTGTGAACACTTCATAAATTTTTGTATTTATCTGTGTGTATATATACATGTGGGTAAAGTACTATTATTATTAGCTAATGTAAATCCTGTTAAATTTATATTAGAATTACTATATTTTGAGTGGATTTTAAAAATCATTCCTTACTATGTTAAGATAATATTCACTAAAATCAGAGAGAATTATACCTAATAGAAATATCATGAATTGTACGTAGTCATACTTTGGGAGAAGAACTAGGATAAGACAAAACTCAGAATCCTGACTGCTAGGTTAGGGTTACTACTGCTCAGTGGAACATACGCAAATATAAAATTAAATTTTTGGCTTTGTTTTTATGTATTTACAAAGCTAATACATGAATAGCATGGAAAATCCAAATGATATAAAAAGAAAAACAAAAGAAAGAAGAAATCTTCCAGAGATCCCACAGAATAGAAACATTGACATACTGGTACATATCCTTCTAGAAATCTTTCTCAGCATATGTGACTCTGTGGGTTTATAATTATCTTTTCATTTTTCAAAAGGACTCATAGCACATAAGCAGTTTTGCAACTGCATTTTTCATTTGGTAGTATATCAAGGGAATATAGGTAAGCTTCATTGTATATAATGAATAAATATATGCTCTTATATGGATGTACCATAATTTGTTTAACCAGTTCTCTATTGGGAGGCATTTAAATCCTTTTTTTTTTTTCATATTTTAAATGGCACACAGTTGCCTGCTTATTTCTTTAGGATAAATTGCTAACAGTGGTATTGCTTGGTCAAAGGGTATGCAGGTTTAAAAATTTGATACTTGTTTTCATATTTCCCTCCAGAGTGCTCAAGAATGCCTTTTCCTCTCACACATACTGAGTATTGTCATGTTTTTTTCCCTTGAATTTGCTGGTTTGTGGGGTTTTTTTGGTTTTTTTTTTTAAAGGTTTTATTTATTTGACAGAGATCACAAGCAGGCAGAGAGGCAGGCAGAGAGAGAGGAGGAAGCGGCTCCCCGCTGAGCAGAAAGCCTGATTCGGGGCTCGATCCCAAGATCCTGGGATCATGACCTGAGCCAAAGGCAGAGGCTTTAACCCACTGAGCCACCCAGGTGCCCCTGCTGGTTTGTGGTTTTTGTCAATATTTCTGCTTACTTGTGAGTTTAAGTATCTTTTCTTATTTTATTGATCTTTTGTAGTTCTCTTCAGAATTTCTCTTTTGGCCATTAATTCTCTCATAGTATTCGTCTCATTCTTAATTTTGGGGGGCTTACAAGTCTTTGTCATAAAACTTCAGTTGTTTTTTTTCCCAGTTTGTTTTTTATCGTTCAACCTTGTTTGTGTTTTTTATTGTTGTTTATTTTTTTCAGTTTATTTTTTTTTCAATCTCGTGCAAGAAATTTTCCCAGTTTGTTTTTTATCTTTCAACCTTGTTTGTGTTTTTTATTGTTGTTTATTTTTTTCAGTTTATTTTTTTTTCAATCTCGTGCAAGAAATTTTTGAAATTGTATTATTTCTTACAGCTGAGTAATTGAAAGGTCTTCCCCACTTCAAAACTATTAAAATATTCATCCATGTTTTCTTTTAGTACTTTGAAAGGTGCATTTTTCTCTTAATTGAGTCTTCAGTCCATTGGGAACATTTTTTGTATGTCAGTGCCTCCCTGTTTTTCATTTCTTGCTCTGGTTTCCAAACTTGACTAGTAAAAACCAAAACAGGAACTGAATCATGGTGGCAAGTGAGATTTGCCTCACTGTTTCCTCTTCTCACAGTTCATCAATGTGCCTGGGTATTTGTGAATAGAGATGGAGGTTCAAAGGGGAAGGGGCGGTTGGGAGGTAGTAGTCGGCAGTCCCACGCCAGGATTGCCTGCTGTGAATGCATGTGTGGAACAGAAGGTGAAAGAGAGGACACCAGCACAGTGTCTCTTAGAAGTTTAGCGTTTCACTTATTTTAGTTACCCCCCGCGTTCTTATTCAGGAAAGTGAAACTGTGGTAGGGTGACCGAAGACACCTGGTGACGTGAGAACTTAGATATATGTTTTAAGCCTTGAATACCAAGTGCTCTTTTTCCATGATGAAGCCTTGAACTCTCTGAATTCTGTGGACTTGTGATAACTTTTTATTTCAGTATCTGTTTCTAGTTCAGAAAGAGACTGGAGGAGGTGGACCTACTTCTTTCCCCTCTTTGACCTCTGATCCCCTGGCCCATAAGTAAATGCTATTAAGTTTCTTCTCTATCTTATAGAAATTTCAAGCATTATTTGTGACTGCTGCATACTACCGACTGTTCAGTTGGTGAAATTGAAGGTCTTTCATGCAGAAGAAATAAATCAAGATGGCAAGAAATAGAAATATATTTATGGGTGTGAAACCTATTTTTCTTTAAGTAGTAAGAATTCATAAAGATTATCATTTTTTTTTAGGATAACTCCTTTGACAATAAAAATCAATTTAGAGAACACAGATGGGAAAGAATAGTTGCCCAGGGAGGAGCACAGCTGGGGATGACAGAATCTGTTTACTGAACACTTAATGGCCAGCTACATGTTTTGTTTTGTTTTGTACACGTCATTCCCCATTTACACTGTCCTGACATCTTCAGTGCAGAGATGCGGAAACTGGGGCTCTGAAAGATAACATACAGACTTGCTCACCGTGTTTGTTGAAGGTCAGAGCTGGGGTGTGGACCGTGGTCTGTGCCTTTAGAGCCACCTGTCTAAAGTCTGTCTGGCCGGTCCTCGAAAAACCTTTCCCCTTTTTTGGGCTGGAGAGTTCTTCTTCTTATCTTTGCTGCTGCTTTATTTTCTTTGTGGGCCCACAAGCAGTATACCTCAGAACCACAGGCACATTTTCACTCTTGGAAACCATGGTTTACAGAACGCACATAACATAACTTCTGTAATAAGATTTGCTGTTTTGAGTTCTTCCCATTATTGAAAAGTAATGGGGCCTTCATTGCCTCAATGCAATTGTAAATGCCGCTTCTCACACAGGATACTTTCCTTCTCTTGGTCTGAAGTTTATGGCTTCATTATGGCTGATTGTTGGAGTGAGGCGTAAAACTACACCTGACATATACAACAAATGTACAAGCTGTTGTTGGCCAAGGTGTAAATTGAGCATCCTAAGGTTGTGCAGTGTCTAGTAGCCCAGTGAGGAGAAAATGTAAGAAGAGGTTAATTACTTCTGTAATCTTTCCTGTGGGTCTCTTCTGTTTCACATTTTTCCAGAAGCTGGCTGTGTAAGGCTAGTAAGGGGGAGGTGGGGAGGTTGGAGTGGGATTGACAGACCTACCTTTTATCCTTATTACAGCAAGAAAGAGCATAACAGACAAGTCTGTGTTCCTTGCACTCCTGCTGTAGGTCTCTCTCTGTCTTGCACTTTGATGATTATGAGAAAAACTTTGCCACCAAGGTCATAGACTCTAAATGGAGAGGCAAGACACATGTACATGAAACTGGAGAGTTTGCCAGAACATTCCATTGTATTGTGTGACTTTAAGTATAGAAAGCACTAGAGAAAGGAAAGATTACTGTGACCAGACTAGTCAGAACAGGTACTATATGGCCAGAGAGGACAAGGAGTCTTGAGATCCTGCCATCTTCACAGTATTAAAAGGCAGAAGAGCTGTGTGTCCAGAGACCTAAGACTGACCCAAAGTAGAACCCTTGGGAGGCCAGCCTTCCCATATGATGACCTTAATGTATGGCCCGCTAACAAATTCTGGCTCCCCAGAACCCTACCCCCAGATGATTGTGGGTGAAGAGATACCATCAGAGCCTCTCAGCCTGTCCCCCATTTTGTTGATCTGTCTCTTCTTCTGATGTCCCTTAGTGTTTGATGTAAACAGTCTGCCATGTTTCCCTGTTGCCTTGGGTTTGCCTTCTTCTCCTGTCTCCTTCCTTTTGTCTTCTTAGTGCCTGATGTAGTCTGTGAATGGGGAAGATCGAAGAAACACTTAGTGTATGTTTGGCTTTAGACCATGGTACCAGGAAAGCCCTGCGGGATCCTGAATTATAAACCAGCCACATCCTTGGGTTCTAGCACAGAGCTGAGGCCACACTGTCACTGCAGGCTGTGTACTCTGTGCCCCCTACCTCTGTTCTCATCTCAGCTGGGGTCTGTGTAAAAAGCACATGTTCTTGGAGATTCCATGCCATGATTCCGATCTGGCACAGGGTTTCTGAATAGATTAGAATGGGGAACAGTCAGTACTAGGGACCCGCCTTTAATTTAAGCACTTGCTATCCAGATTGAGCACTGAGTTCAGCCAACATGGTAAAAGGGGTTCTGGGATGTGTTGGGGCAAGTAAAACTCTGTCACAGTCTTGAGCATTTAAAAACTCTGGAAACGGTTATCCTGTTTGTATCTAGAAGATTTGTCTCTCAGGTGAAGAGTCTCTGCTTTCCTCCCATCTCACGTGAATAATTGTAGCTACTGGGTTTTCCTTATTCCATGTTTGCTAGATCCACATCAGATCACACAGCTGAGAAAGGCCCTTGGTTTATTGGGACATGTTGCTGGTAACATCTCCTTGTGTTAATTTCTTTATGTCTTTTCCATACCAGTGAAGAAAAAATGCAGCCTTTTGTCTTGGGTTTTTTTTGTTTTGTTTTGTTTTGTTTTTTTCATTGCAGGTTTATTTTTTAACCCCAGTTACTCATTTCTCAATGTCCCTCTGGACATCCAGGACAAAATTGTATTTCACTAGTTATTTAAATCAAACAAAAAGTATTATTTTTCCCAAAGTCATGAAGGATATGTTTTTAACCTTGATCTTGATGTAAAAAGCTAAAATGCACTCTTGGTTGTTGGTATCCATTTGTTGCTAGTTAAATGAAATTAAGTAGGCTTGGATCAGGATTCTTGGTTTTGCTTGGGAACTTATAACTAATCAGGTCTTTGATAATCTTCCAGAACCTGAGGCTTGTGTGCTTCTGAGCTGCTGTGGATGGCCCTGGCTCTCTTGACCACCCTTCCAAGTAGGATGTCACTGAGATCCCTCAAATGGAGCCTCCTGCTGTTGTCACTGCTGAGTTTCCTTGTGATGTGGTACCTCAGCCTGCCCCACTACAATGTGATAGAACGTGTAAACTGGATGTACTTCTACGAGTATGAGCCCATTTACAGACAAGACTTTCGCTTCACGCTTCGAGAGCATTCAAACTGCTCTCACCAAAACCCATTTCTTGTCATCCTGGTGACTTCACACCCTTCAGATGTGAAAGCCAGACAGGCCATTAGAGTTACTTGGGGTGAAAAAAAGTCTTGGTGGGGATATGAGGTTCTTACCTTTTTCTTACTAGGCCAGCAGGCTGAAAAGGAAGACAAAATGTTAGCATTGTCCTTAGAGGATGAACACCTTCTTTACGGTGACATAATACGACAGGATTTTTTAGACACCTATAATAATCTGACCTTGAAAACAATTATGGCATTCAGGTGGGTAACTGAATTTTGCCCCAATGCCAAGTACATCATGAAGACAGACACTGATGTTTTCATCAATACTGGCAATTTAGTGAAGTACCTTTTAAATGTAAACCACTCAGAGAAGTTTTTCACAGGTTATCCTCTAATTGATAACTATTCCTATAGAGGATTTTACCAGAAAGCCCATATTTCATACCAGGAGTATCCCTTTAAGGTGTTTCCTCCCTACTGCAGTGGGTTGGGTTATATAATGTCCAGAGATTTGGTGCCAAAAATCTATGAAATGATGAGTCACGTAAAACCCATCAAGTTTGAAGATGTTTATGTTGGGATCTGTTTGAATTTATTGAAAGTGGACATCCATATTCCAGAAGACACAAACCTTTTCTTTTTATATAGGATCCATTTGGATGTCTGTCAACTCAGACGTGTGATTGCAGCTCATGGCTTTTCTTCCAAGGAAATTATCACATTTTGGCAGGTTATGCTGAGGAATACCACATGCCATTATTAATTTGACAAAAGCCTAGAGAAAGTCAGGGTACCCTGTAGAAAGCATTAAAATTACTTTAAAATCTCCAGTGGAAAACTCATGGGAAGGTGACTGTGTGTTGATTTACACCAAACCCAGACTCATGAAGTGCCCATGGACTGGGGACTGGAGGGTTACACTTGTGATTTATTTAGATGAAAAAATCAAGTCAGGCCCTTTAAAGGCGATAGTAAGAGGAATTAAACATCTCATAAAGGAATTGGAGATTTTTGTTAATAAAACTAATAGGACCAAACTATTTGAACATGTCATTCTAGAAACTAGAACTTGTTAAAAGGGTTTCATTGAATTATAAGCTCATTAGCCCATAACAACAAAGCAATGTGGAGTCCTATTCGTTGAACGGTCTAGTCAGATAAAGGTTTTGTGTATATCTTACATGGATTACCAGTTTTTAAAAATACATAGTTCTGTGTAAAAAACTAAAGTTACGCTGAGAAAAATTTCATCCGTTTTGGTCATTCAGAAGGTACGTCAAGATGTTAGAGCATTTCACGGTTATGAATTACTGTTTAATACTACTTAGGACTTTCTGGTGTTTAAATGTTATGGTTGTTTCAATACTGTATAAAGAGAATAGTGAATCACCCTTCACATTGTAACTTTTTTCTGGTTACTTCACTGATGAGTTTATTATTTGATAGCTCCATTAATGTAAAGTCATTGGTTGTTATTGCATATCAGTAATCTCTTAGACTTTGATAAATATTTTACTGTGGTAATGTAGAGAAGAATTAAAACAAGGTCTGAATTATTGTCTTGTTTTTAAAAAATATAATTCCCAATGTTTTTATGTCACTATATCTGTCTCATTTTTCCACTTGAAAATTGGGAATAATATAGAATGCCAGGCAGCATGTTTCCTTTTGGAAAGGACTCTGAAGACAAAAAAGAAAAGAGAGAACCCAACGGCTGGGATATTATGAGTATTGTTATTAATCTGATCCGTGTGTGTGCTCATTAACAATCAGTTTGAGAATAAAGAGGGGAAAAACATGCTGCTGCTATTGTTACTCGTTTCACATCAAGAGGAAAGCCTTCATATGTGGTCAAAAGTCATAACGGAATTCCATGTCATGTAGAAGCACATTTCTTCATAGCAGTGGTGATGGAGGTCACCTCTGACCTACCAGTGGGTCAAAGAAGACTCCTTGCTCCATATTCTTGGGGTTGGGCCATTTCCCATTGTGGCTGATATGGGACAAGTGATTCCTCTTTTCTGGGTGACAGGTAGGCAAAAGATCCAATCCATTGGCAGAAAATATAAACTTAAAAATATGTAGTTAGCTCTAGTAATACTCAATATTTATAATTCTGTAAGAAATGCTTAATTTCAATCAGACCTATTTTATTTTTCTAACGATACATTTATTTGAGAGAGAGAGAGAGAGAGATAGTCGGGGGAGGGGCAGAGGGCGAGGGAGAGAGAATCTTAAGCATAGACTCCCCGCTGAGCTCAGAGCCTGACTTGAGGCTTGATTTCAGCACCCTGAGATCATGACCTGAACTGAAGTCAAGAGTTGGATGCGCAACTGATTGAGCCACCCAGGTGCCCCCAATTAGAACTATTTTAATGTGTGATTCTCTATAAGATGCTTATTTCCCTTTTCCTGGTCTCAGACCCGATAATCACTTATAATAAAATCAATTAAATGAAATAGTCTATGGAATCAAGCTATGCCGTTGCTAATCCCTATTCATATAGGAGTCACTTTCTTTGAGACAGATGGTGGTTATTTTTATGGTATGATTAGATTGGTTTTGTAGAAGTTTATATCGATGTTGGAGAAGCTAAGTCAAAGAATTTAAGAGAGAACATTTAAAACAAAAAATTCTCTTTAAAACAAAAATCACAACTAAGATTTGAATAATTGCTAAATTTCAGATGATTGTTTCTTTTCGACTAGGAATTGGTGCCTAAAAGATCTCTAAAAAGTTAAATGATTATGAAAAACAAGAATCTGGGTCATTATGTTTTTTGTTTTTAACTATGTGTTTCTTAATAGTCTAAACTTTCAGTAGTAAATAACAGCCAGCTGTATTAAAATCTTGGCCTCTTGCTGTTTAACCAAACATTTTTTTTTTTATTTTAACTCATAACACAGTTTAATGCTGGAAGCTAACCTTAGACCGATTATCTCCTGCCTGCCACAGCCCCACCATCCCCATGGCCTTACACTCTGTGCCTCACTCATTTGCTTTGCTTGCCCATAGCATTGAGTTTGTGACTCCTAGCACATTCGCTTCTGCCAGATTATGCTACAAGAATAACTCTCAAATCTCGGGGCAACATCAGCCATGTATTCCTTTCATGCACATCACAGGCCACCAGGTGCTGGCATTGGCCACAACCTGCTGCTTCTATCTCCACATCTTGGGATCTCCACTGTAGGGCACGCTGTCTGGAACATGCCATTCCTATAGAGGGAAGGAAAAAGAGCAGGCAAAACACTTTGGCGCATATATATACATATATATACACATAAACACTGACAAATTCCATGCCAAGTCCAGTGCCAGTAGTGGGTGGAGGCAGTGTATTCTCACAGGAAATAGTGCAAGTCATGTGTTGGCAGGCAGGACCGGTTGTATAGGATGGGGTACAGTAGTAGAATCTGCCACACCTAGTGTGTAAAAGGGAGAGGAGGCTCAGGGATCTGCAGCTCTGAGTCTGCCCTGAGTGACTCAGAAGTTGTCTGGCTCACTTGAAGCTGGTGTTGTGTTGTGTTTTGTTTTGTTTAGATTTTATTTACTTATTTGACGGACAGAGACACAGAGAGGGAACACAGGCAAGGGGAGTGGGAGAGGGAGAAGCAGGCTTCTTGCTGAGCAGGGAGCCCAACATGGGGCTTGATCCCAGGGTCCTGGGATCCTGACCTGAGCTGAAGGCAGATGCTTAGCAATTGAGCCACCCAGTCACTGGAGCTGGTGTTTGGATCCCTTCCCTGAGCTGGCTACCCTTTCACCCCTGTTAATCTTTCCCTGTCTCCACCCTAAATGTGCTGGACATTATCGTGTTCCCAGCAACTCACCCGATGCAGAGCAGCCAGAGCTGAGCTATTTTTAACAATAGTATTTAGGAACATTAGGTTGGGGACAAAGCCCTTCTCTCTTGCGGTCTGGTAGACAGTTGTTAAAAGATGGAGGGGGAGAAAGGGGAGTTAGAAAGGGACCAGATTTCAGTGAGGGGGAGGGTGAGTATGTGGCAGGTCAATCCTGCCATCCTTGGGGTTCCATCCTTTAATCCACAGGGAATTAATCTTTATATTAATCCAACTTCTCTAGATTTTGTGTGAGCTGAAGACTAACTCTAATTGGTAATCCCCTCACACTCTCCATCAGCAACTTCGTTGTCCCAGTGTGGTCAACGTGGGGGTAAACCCTCAAGGAGTCCATCAGAATAGATGGCACATGTTGATGGTGTTGGTAGGAAATGGATATTAGCAAGACCCTGAAAGTCAAGGGCAGATTTAAGTGGGCAGTCCCTTGACAAAATCTGTGCCCAAGGGAAGGGCCATCTCATGGGTCTTGTAAGGACAAGGAAGGGCCCAACAAGGGTAGATACCATCACTTTGTGTCGAAGGTAAGTGATGGAGGCACAAAACTTGGATTTAGTCTTTGAGTCTAGGATATGGTCAACACAGCCAAGGGTAGTAGTTAAGAGAATCTACACAATTTTCAAAATTCCAAAAGTTGAGAGGAATCCATATACTTACCTAAGATAAGGTTGCCCAAGTTAAGGAAAGTATTTCCACTGGCTAGAACTTAATCAGCTAGGACAGTAGCCATGATCAGCTTATAATAAACAGAAGCTTAATTGGGGGTTAATTTTGTTTGATTAATAAAATGGAGAAACCATGGGCGCTTGGGTGGCTCAGTGGGTTAAAGCCTCTGCCTTCGGCTCAGGTCATGATCCCAGGGTCCTGGGATCGAGCCCTACATCGGGCTATCTGCTCTGCAGGGAGCCTGCTGCCTCTCTCTCTCTCTCTGCCTGCCTCTCTGCCTGCTTGTGATCTCTCTCTGTCAAATAAATAAATAAAACCTTTTAAAAAAATGAAATATTTTTTAAAAGATAATAAATAAATAAATAAATAAATAAATAAAATGGAGAAACCAAGTTATAATTCAGTGAGTGCAAAGTCATGGGTGATGGTTCATTGAGGGCAGAGAGATCTTTGCCAAGAAAAGATTTGGGAACTATTGTTCTTTGATATGAAGGCATGTAAGTTGTCCAAGGTCAATGTCAAGCCAGGACTAGAATGCTCCAGGTCCAGCTACACCGCTCCTCCCTTGCAAACATCGAGTTTGGTTAGAGAACATTCCTCAGTGGAAATGCAGAATTGAGTCAGGATTACATCTGACTCAGGGGTGAGAGGAACTTGGAGGTGCCAGGCTATAGTCTCCAAAGGATTTAAGGAAATATGTGACCACCAGTCATCTTGGGAAGTCGTGCAGGCTGCTAGGTAAGATGCCAGTGGGCAGTGGCCAATCGAGCCAGGGACCAGTGCTGTGCCAGCAGCCTGACAGGTTCCTGTAGCCAGGCCCCAGCAAGAGAAAACCTCACAGGAAGCTTGCTACCCAGGCATTTCAGAATAAATGTGTGTCCTCGGTACATACGTCAGGTGTTTGCTTATGGAGATGCCTTGGGCTGTGTAGGAGGCAGGGATGTCAATTTCAGGTTTCCAGAAGGTGGCAAGGGCCGAGAGCAGGGAGATACTTCCAAATAGGACCTGGGTTTATGTGCCACAGGCTTCTGCTTGTTTCTTAAAATTTCAGTGAAGGGGCATCAGTTACCCAGCGGAAAAGAATACAGCAAAATGTCTGTTGCAACCCTCGAGTCATTTGTCATGGGGAATATATTAATTTGCGGTTTCAGACCGCAGTGCCAGAAACACTAGAATGGATTCTCTTCTTCAGGAAGGCTGAGCCTTGCCCGGGTTTGAGTGAAGACTCCTCTGATTACTAGCCTTGTGTCTCGCTTTCTTTACCTACAAAAAAAGAGGAAGTGACCTACCTCATAGGGTTGTTGGTGCAGAGTAAATGCTATGGAACAATTGGTTGTT